CAGCTCCAGCCTTACCATGAGGTGCTCCTATGGCGAGGTCACGAGATGAGGGAGCTGATTCACAACTACTTGCTGGTCAAAGGGGTGTATTCTCTACGTTCCTCACACTACTCACTGCTTACTTTCCTTTTAGGTTTTAGTTTTCTGGTCTCTCAGTGAGTGGCTTAGCTCATGGATGGCTCAGCTGGGCCGAGCATAAAAGCAGGGGGAAGGAGATGGTGTGGGGAGCAGAGAAGGAACGGGGCCTCCCCTAGCAGTGGTGGCCAGCTCTTGGGTTGGCTCATTTGTCTTGGGGAACCTCACTGTTAATTATTTGGCCTTATTAAAAAATTATGTTGGTTTTGTTTGATCTTCGGCTTATCTCCTTATGTGCACATTAACTGGATGTTACCACGTGGTTTTTCACTAGGCTTGGAATTTTTTAACATGTGCAGTTGTAGCCAGGAAATAGCTGAAGGGTTTTTTCCTCTTTTCCTCCTTAGGAGCTTGCTAAAAGCACTCACCTTAAACTCTTGGCGTGTAAACAAGGCAGCAAGAGGCTTTAATATAGTGCAATTAAACTGTAAGACCTAGGATAGAATAAGGAATTGAGTTTGTTGCACTTGTTTGTTTCACAAAATTGGGTATAGGGGGATTTTATACATTATTTAAGTAGCATTTTGCATGGGGGAATGGTGGCTGTTTGCTCTTTAAGTAGAAAGGTTAAGTTTGCTTTTGTGCCTCTGCTTGTGCTGCTCATATTCCTTTGCCTTCAATGTAGCTTTAAAAGCCTGCCTTGGTGAGATTTCAGTGCTGGTTAATTCATTTGTCTGTGGAGTAACTTCCCATTTCACTGCAGTCAGGAGTGTCATTGTACTATTTCTTGTACCAGTATTGTTCTGAAAATAGTAATGCAGGGAGCTTGCAATAATAAAAGCATACTACCTACAACAGAAAAACCCTGCTCTTGTTAAGCAATCAGTTTTTAAACTGTAGAACACATTTCTGGTATAGAGGTGGCACATTTTCTGAACCTTTGAATAAGAAAAAATGAAGTTACATGAGAGACCATACTCCAGGCTGGTTTATCTATTCTTTAGAGAATTAAATTATTAAAGGAAAGGAATTTATCTTGCTTCTCTATTTGTTCTTGTGGCATTTTTTTTTTCCTCCTCACAGAGAAATGCTTTTAAGCGTTCTGCCTAGTTAAAAAAACAATCTTAGATAAAACAATCTTATATATGCAATGTAGTAGACTTAAATTGGACATGAATTGATTGTGTGGTCAGTGCAGTGAATAAAACAATACAAAGCCTTATACATGAAGCAAACTGCAGGGATGCAAGCTGCACTGACAGAGCTGGAAGTTATATACTATCTGAAACAGAGGGGTTACTATCTCTGCTTATCACAAAAGCCCAAATGTCCCAGTGTGCCTGAGTGTGTGTCAGTGGAAGTCAAATCTCTGGGTGTTTGGCTGAATGCCATGTTGTTGTTGTTTAATGGTCCCTTTGGATTGATAACGTCATTCAAGATTTCTAAATGTGGCTGTGACCCCGGTGCTTTGAGGACCTTACATTTGGGTAGGTTTGGCCTGCTTGAATATTGGTGAGATAAAGTGCCTGCCTGAGAAAGCTGGAGATTGGTGTAATATTGTTCGTGGTCTCTTTTAACAAATGGATAAAAGTGAGGTTTCTGGGAAGGGAAGATAAAACCAAGCAGCCCAGCAGAGCACAGAGCTGTCCATGTACTTGTTGCAGTTGAACTTTTCGAGAGTCCTGTGATGCCTTTCTTTAGTCACAATCAGTGTTTTTATCCAGGATTTGCAAGGCAGCCAGGTGCTGGTATTGTGAATCAGTTATCATTTGACATGATGTAAGGCCTGTTCTTATTTACAGAAAATGTCACTTGATGTTGTTCCCCTTTTTTCTCATGTTGCAGATGTGGGTGGTGGCAGCTCTTTCCAATCTCACACAGATGTTGTCATTGTCTATTGTGCACACACAGGGTGCTGCTGGGGGTAGTTTTGCTGGGCTGAAAAAGGAACAGCCTGTCTATGTTCTCCTGCATGAAGTACAGCTTTGAGAGACAAAGGAAAGGACTGCTCCTGCCTTTTTTTTTTTTTTTTTTGGCAGGATGTGACACAGGTTCTTCAGTAACAGAATTTTGCTTCAGGGTTAGTGGGATCTGCAGTCAGGCCCCAGATAATGTTCCTGGCAGTGCCACTGCCTTCCTTCCAGTAATGAAATTGAAATGGCATAAACAGTATATTTATTCCATTTTATATAATAAATGAAATACCTTGAAGCAAAATGTCACCTTCAGTAGTCAAGGGTGTGGATTTCCTTCTTAATGGTGCTGGCAGTGTTTCCTGATTTTTTCCAAATTGCTTATGAGAAATTCATCCAGGAACTTGCCTGAATTGGGAAAAAATACTTATTGTAACTATATGCTAGTGAACTGCTATTAATTGATTATTTTTTATTAGATATGCTAGTGCATACAATGAAACACTTGTGTACAACTTGTGTTTGCATGTATGTGCATCTGATTTATGCAGAACCTGTAAGGTTTCGTAAGGCAAAGCTGTAGACTATTTTTTACTTAAGAAGTTGAGCACTGTGTGGAGGCAAAGCAAGTTTTGCAAACATAGATACTGGGCACACCATGAGGACAATTGTTTCTCATTATTTTCTATTTCCATAGGTTTTATGTGTTGTCCACGTAGTCTTTTAGTTTAGGAGTAGCATAGTTCTGCTCTAGAGGATGAGTGTGCAGAGTCATTTTATTGGTTTGATTTATTTTCTTTGTATATTGCTGTAATAACAGATTTGTGATTCCATATAATGTTTTTGTTCTCTCACCTGTTTTGATTCCTACTGGGTTTGATTCTGTTTTAACACATAATCCAAGGAGTTAAGACTAGCAGTTTTTTGAGCCAGTCCTACTGTGTGACATGGGTATAGCCATCTTCCAGAATGAATATGCAGAGTAGTTGTTAAACACTGTTATTATCAATGATGATATGCAAGTGTGAAAGAATTCAGATTTGTTTTCAGGGCTCATCTTCACTTGGCAGGAGTAGTAATCAAAGGGAGAGATAAAGGGAACATTTGAAATGTTGCTGTGATGATGGAGGTATGTCTCCATGTTGTAGGGAAATTGTGCTTATTTTCACACCTGTCTCTTTCTAGGAAAAAAAAAATCCTGGGTGAAATTTTCTTTAAACATTGTTTGAAATGCCGTTAAATTTTTTGTTAAATAACAATAAATAGTGGTGCTTTTCTTAAATGTAGCTTTTGGTTCCACTAGATGTGATGAAGTTTGAGGTGTAAAATTCTCTTGTCTAAGGGATAACCTGGGGGCATTTTATCTCTTAGGGTACCAGTCCTGTGCTTGTAATTTCAGTGTTACAGCCCCTTTTTTTGTGCAAACTGTGAATGAGAGATATTATAATGACACAAATATTATACTGCACAATAAATGCAACAGAAGGTCCTTGTGATCTGTTAAAGAATGGAAATGGCTGGTGGAAAGTCTTGTTTCAACTTTCCTGCTGATACTTTTATCTGAAAGTAATCTAATTAAAAAGTACATACCTTATGCTTTTTATCAGCTGTGTGAAGTCAGTCACAGGCATGGAACAGTGAAGGATGATCTCTGTAGCTGGTTACCTGAAATCCCTCTTTACGAAAATTTAGTTGGCTAAAGATCCGAGTGCTTCTGTTCTTCCCCTTTAAATTGTTGCCCTTGGGCCAGCCCAACTTGTTTGTTTTAAAAATCAAAGTAACTAAAAATAGTATTAAATTGGTATTTTTAATCCTTGATCAAAACACTGTTGACTAAGATCAGGAGTAACATTTTGGAGTTCATGGTGGATGAACTGGTATTTTAATCAAGGAGCAAAGTACTGTTACATGTACTGGTTATAGATGACTTGTTACCAAATCATGTGGACACTGCAGGGAGATAGAAATTAAACTTTCAGGGTAGCCTCCCTTCTTTGGAATGACAGTGCAGTCTCTGCTCTGCCTGCTTCTTCAGCTGTCTTTTGTGTCTAGCAGAAGTAGCACTGTCAGCATTTTTAATATAGTTTCCTGTTCTTTTCTGTCTAGATGAGAGTTGTAGAAATATGCTTTATGGAGTTCACTTGTTAGAAGGTTTTATTACTGTTTAGATGTGGATGTATGTGTTTAGTAACAAAAGATTTAGTATACTCATTTATTTTAGTAATAGTCTTCTGTTTTGTATACAGAAGCAAATATATTTGTGTGTGTGTGTAAAAGCAAATAATGTAAATATACAGAAGAATAAATGTATTTGGATTCAAGAGCCAAATATTTTCAGGGAAGGAAAGCTTCTCCTGTAAGACATGTTTTATCTTTTTGAAAGAGACACATATCAAATGTTGGTTTTACAAATGCTTTATTTACATCCGTGTCACATTTGTCACCCTGTTATTGGTGACAAATTGTATTTCCCATAAAATGAGTGAGGGTGAGACTGTATTTCAGTATGAAATTACAGTAGTATTGATAGGAAAATGCCAGGACATGCCAAGTGTCTTGACATAGGAATAAACTGCTCTCTGTAGCCTTGTCTGCATCATGCTTGTAGGTCCTGCACTGAGGTGCAGGCTTTGGGGTCTGCTTTGCATTTGTTATGGAATGAATCTGGATAAAAACATGTACCTGGACAGTCACTGCAGAGCCACTGAGACATGATGACCTGTGTGTCAAAGACCTCATGTAGGAAGGCATTTTGCTTGACAGCATTAATTGGAATAATTTATCCTTGTTAGTCTTGCCCAAATGTGGCATCTGTACAGTGCGTGGCTTTGGATATAATTAATGTGCTCTTTAATTTGTTCCTGAAGAATGAGATGATGATCTTAATGTGAGTTCTTAGATTCTGTATCTTGTGTTTTAAAAGAATTAGAATTACAAGAATTTAAGTTCGTTGTGGCAAGCTCTAGTTCACCTGTTCGTTTTTGATGTACCTTTTTTCTCCTCCTTTTCCAGGTGAAGCAGGAGCTGTAGAAGGAAGACCTTGTGGTTTGCAATCATGCCATTCCCCTTTGGCAAGTCCCACAAGTCTCCTGCAGACATAGTGAAGAACCTGAAGGAAAGTATGGCAGTTCTAGAAAAACAAGATATCTCTGACAAAAAGGCAGAAAAGGTACAGTTGTGACTTTCCAATTGCTAAACATTTTGAAAGGGGTGGGGAGGGGAGTGGAATTTACAGCTGTGGAAACTGAATCAATTAGGAATTATTTTTGGGTTTTATAGTCTGATAACGGGCAAGTTATGTACCTTTGAATGGGTGTGTTTCATGTTGGTTGGCTTTGCATTTTTATGCCACTGGCAGCTGATAATGATACTTAAAATAATTTGGTTTGTAACTGTAGGACATTGCATTCTTTAGTAAGCAGCTTACAGCTCTAGGGTGTTCTGGTGCTTGTGACCACCAGAGAACCTTTACTACTGCACCGTAGTTCTGTCTCTGCTTGTCCATGCAAGTGTTCACAGAGCAGAGTGTCCCTTACTGGAACCAAAGAATTTGGTGTCTGGATGGATATCAACAGAGAATATATTTTGATTTTCCTGCCTTTTCTTCAGCCCACAGGAAGATGTGGTGAAAAGTTTCTGTGCCAGTGCAGCTTCCTTTAGATGGATGTCTTGCTACTTCAGGATCTCTCCCTGTTCACAGTCACTTACTTCTCAACTGGTAGTCTTGCTAACATGACTGAAAATTATCTTTAAGTTCAGCCTGTATGCAGCTGCATCCCACCTAGTGACTTATATGGCAGAAGTATTCACTGTTCAGATGAAGTTTTTCCTGATAAACACAGCACAAGGTCATAGGTTTGAATACTTATAAAACCCCAACAAACCAAAAAAACCAAGCGAACAAAACACCTCCCTCTCCAATATACCAGCTTTTGAAGCAGGCTGTGATACCCTCCTTGGATCCTCTCCCAGCATTATTTAGCTGTTATGTGCCATTCTTGGTATCCCCAGTCCTGTGTAGGAGTTAGTCACAATCTTTTCATATTCACTAGTATTTTTAAGCAGAATGTGGCCAGTTCCTCTATATTCAGTTTCACCTAGATTTGGCACTGCTACTTTTAAGTGCAGGAGAATCTGGGGCTTAATCAAATTGCCATCTTTATCCCAATATTCTTTAAAAATCAGCATCTTCTACCCCCCTGCCAGCATGTGTTATGTTCCAGGTGTCTTGAGGTGTACCACGGTATTTTTCCTTGACGCTTTTTCTCTCTTGCTGGAGAGAAAAATGTTATGATGTGTTGTGCAGGCCTGTGTGAAGGCTTTTCTTCTTTTACTAAAAGAGACATCTGTCAGGAGAGGAGGGGAAGGTGCGTTCTGAAGAGTCTGTGATGAGACACGGCACCACCTCCTTCATCTCGGCCCCATTGTTAATTCCTGGAGATGGGGCTTGATCTTAAAATCCGTGCTCTTTTGTGGCATCTTTTGTTGCTTAGACCTCTAATGGGGAACAGACCAGCTACATCCCACTGTGGATGGCTGTGCACTGTAGCACATGCCTGTGGTCTTGATGCTATAGCTGAAGGTTATTACGTACCATTTCTTCTTGCTGGCCTTCAGTCCCACACCTCCATCCTTCTGAAAGACCTCATTTATGTGAGGCTGCTGCTTGGACAAGAAATAATACGCTGAGCCTGTAAGAGTGGCTTCTTGTGTCATGTAGAGAGCAACACATTGTGCTTGAAGGAGTACAGAAGGGTAGCCATGTTCACTGGGTTAAATGAGAGGAGGGTTAAATCCTGGAATTCAGGGGACTGAGCCTGGGTATGGTGGTGCTGTTCCCTGTCATCCTCATTATTCACAAAGGAGAACAGCTGATGGATCCAGACATACACAACACTAATGTCAACACCTCCATATAGAGGTTCTTCAGGAAATAGTTGTTCCTTGGCAAGCCAGGACTTCAGGAAGGTGCCTCTGGCTGTGACTGTTTATCTCGGATGGTTTGCTGGTTTGGTAGAGGAAGGTCTTCAGTATCTTACAGACCAGTCATCAAATCTTTGAGGGCACAGCTCTGCTTAGACACCCTGAATTTGTGCCCTCTTCCTGTCCAGTCTGTTGAAATGACTGGAGTGACTTTGGAGTTAAAAGACAGCAGAGGTCTGAGCAGCAGCCATTGTTAGAAAAGAACAAAGATTTCTTTGTGCCCATATGTCAGTATTTATGCATCTTTTTATCTTTCATTATCCCTTTTATTATGATGATCCTTTCTGTAGTGTAACTTTTCAGCCTCTTTTGGAGTAGAATTCTGTGCTGATGAAAGGGTGAGTTCTGTAGATAGTACTGGAACAGAAATAGAAAAACTCACTGCACATAAAACACAAAAATTACTGCCTTTTACTAAAAAGGAAGAAGGATGCAAAAGTTTTTCTTTTTTAATGACTTCATTTTATTAGTGACTAGACTTGTATAAAATATGGTCTCTCTCTCAGTAATTTCTTCTTCATGGTCTCTGTTTGATCCAGGGGTATGCTTTTGTAGCCTGTCACATATCAACAATGAAATTTCAGTGCTAAGCAGCCTGGTACATACTGTTGATTACTGTTTGTGGTAAAGACAAGCTTTTAGCAGGGAATATCTACTTGTCCTATACTACCTTGTTTCTTAAAATTAAAATACTCAGTTTGCTATGTGGAAGATGCTCTCAGAGAGTTTCATAACACATTTGGCAATACAGATTTGGAAGAAAATTAGACAAATAATTTTTCCTATAAATAAGTGTAATTAACTATGTTTGAACAGAATTGCTCAGTTTTTTCAGTGCTTAGGCTGAAATTTAAAACCTTTTAATGTTTTGTGAGAGGAGGGAAAAGCAAAGGAGGTAATAAAGATTTTTAAAGCTTAGATAGTTTGTGTTCCTGTATATCCTTTATAATCCACATGGAAGATATTCTTCAAAACAAAAGGTGTAAAACAGTTAGAGTCATGATGCCTCTTGTTCACTTATGAAGCATTCTGCCCTGCAGTACTGGAAAATTTGTTTTATAACTGAAAATCTGAAATTCAAGTGAATTCTAGTTTACATGTTAATCTGTCTTTCTTTGAGCTATGTGAAAACTGGAGAAAAATTAACTGTGTAGTTCTCCAGGTCATTCTGAAACGTCCTTGAAGTGTGTGGGACTTTCTTAGGAGCTGTGATCTGAAGTAGCTGCACTGTGGCTCGTTGTTGAGGGGCTGCCCTGTGTACCACAGTTCTGGGGGCTGGCTGGCTGCAGTCTTGTGTTAGACAGAGGGGATAGCTTGCTATCTGTTAGCATTTTGAAAGGCAGATGAGATGTCAAGTACTTTATAACTGAAAATGTGTTCATCACACATGCTGTTTGTTCTCCACGACTTGTGCTCTTTCAGAAAGGGGGGGGCTAAAGGGAAAGGAAAGGAAAATTCCTTTCATGTAATTGGGACCTAACTGTGACCCAGCCCATTAGTTAGTCTCGATTTGCATCTCTTCCCCCTTGTTGGCTGACATCAGCATTTATTTTTACACTAGCAGTTAGCTTGGTTTGTGGCACATGTGTACTGTTGTGAAGGTAAATATTTACTCATGTAATAAACTCGTTCTTCCCTACCCTCCGACCTTGGCTTAACCTGCCCAGAGCAGCTCTTGCTCTTGCAGACATGATTGGCCTCTCTTATTTACATCACCAGCTCTCTATAGGATGGGCACACACTGTGTAATGGGCTGTACCATGTGCTGCTTGCACTCAGCTACCCAAATGTAACTTTACACCAGGTTGCCATAGGTCAGCTTTCATTCAGTGAGTTAAACTGCCATTTACAAAGCAGTAAAACTTTAACTTTGCTGTGCACGTGCGTACAGTTAATCCATGGTTGAAAGAAGGCTAAAGGTTAAGTGATCTGCCTGGCCTGCAGTGTGGGGCTGTTACTCAAAGAGGAAAGATGAGGCTTCTTCTGGAAGTAACAAGTGAGATGTGCTTAGTAACAAGTGAGATGTGCTTCTTTTCTAATTGAACTTAGCTCTTCGTGCTAAATATCTGCTGAAAAATCACCCAGTCATTTTTGGCCTTCGGAATGTGCACTGCACTGATGTAGACAGTATACCATTTACAAAATGGTATAGTTTTATAAGCATTTTGAAATCCAGCCAATTTTAAATAGAATCATTAAAAAATTCTGTTTGTTACTTATAATAGATACTACTCTAGACTAGTAAAAATATTCACCAAGTATAGGCTCAAAGCCTATCTGTTTTATCTTTTTGGTGGATGTTTTCATTAATAGTGCAGTTGCTGTAACTGCATTACCCATGAGTACAGAACCCCCAACCACAGGGGTTCATAGACCTGGAGCCTTCAAGCTCATTGGAAATATTTTGGGACTGACCATGTGTTCTTCATCTTTTCCTACTGTTCATAAACCTCAAATACTCCAGCTGTTCAAGTCTAAATGAAGTATTTGGTATTTGCACTGCTTAGTCTTTAAGGAAATAGTAAATTTTAGGGTATTTCAGTTATATTTCTTGACACTGGAATAAACCATAGTAGTTCATAGCTACAAAGACATGCAGCTGTTCTTGTGTAACAGTCATATGTGTGACTTCATGGTGTCTGCATTTCTTTTTAAATAATATCTTCTTATCTTTGATAAAAAGAGAAGTAAGTACTTTCCTTGTTTTCCTTGCCTTGTATTTAAGTTTCATTAGTTTGACTTGTCCTCAGGTGGTATTGTCTGGCACCATTAAATTTCAAATGTGACTTGCCGCAGAATTTTTCTCTAAAATGCTGGTTACTCCTTCTTAGTGTTGAGAACATACATATATATAAATGTTAATATCAATAAAATATAAATTTTAATATATAAAATATGTAATATAAACTTAGAGACTATTTTATATATATACTTATATATATTTATATATATATATATAAAATATACCCTGCTTATATATAATATTTGGATATAGTTTATTTATTTTTTATATATGGTGTCTGATTGTTAATTGACTTTTGATCATGTTTTTTGGATAAACTTCACTGTGTATTTTGATCTTTCTCTAGAGACTTTTCCTGTTAAAAGAAAGCAGTGCATTAGAAAATTATGTAGATCTCAGTACCTTAGGTAAATCATGCAAGTAATGCTACCCAGCTTTGTCTTTCTTGATTTTTTTTTTTACTAGTTTTTTTGCTAGGCTCTTAACATTGATATTTAATGTAGCTTTATATTTTTCAGCGTAGCTATCCACTGAAAGGGCAGAAATAAGTCTGCACATCTTGTGTTCGGAATATGTTCAAGAGTTCGTGGAATATGGAAGAGGGATTCTGAAAGTTTGTAGTTTATTTCTATTCTTTTTGATGTTAAGTTTTAGAAGAGAAGGAAGTCTAGAGATGTTACATTTTATGAAATTGTAGCGCATCAGAAGACCTTGGCTATTGATATAATAGTTTCAGAAAACCTCATATTTCTGTATTTGCAGAAATGGTAGTTTGGCCTAAGCTGAAGTGATGCAAGCAAGACTCTTCATGCTGGAGATGGTCAGACATTGGTGCAGGCTGCCTGGAGAGGTGGTGGGGTGTCCATCCACGGAGCTGTTCAGAGCATGGCTGGCCCTGCCTGGAGCAGATGGTTGGACCCTGATGACCTCCTGAGGGACCTTCCAGCTAAGCTGTTCCATGTTTCTTAGGGCCATGGTTTAGTGGTGGACTTGGCAGGGCTAAGTTAATGATTGGACTTGAGCTTAAGTCCATTTTCCAGCCTAAATGATTCTGTGATTCTCTTCTATGGCTCTGTGTCTCTAGCCATTACTTCCCACTAAAGCTTCATGTCATTCCAAGTTCAAGTGAAGGATATTCAGATGGTCTTGACAGTTGTGAAGAGCATTTAAGTCCTGCTGTCTGTTCCTGAAGTTACCAAGTTGTATGTTCATGCTAGGCTAGAAAGCTGGGCTTTTTTTGCCTTTTTTTTTTTCTTCTTTTTTTGTTAAAGCCCTCAGTGTTGGGAAACACTGCAGTGTTTTCTGCCTGGTTTGTAAGCATTTCCATCACTAATATCTTTCTTGGGCTGATGGTGAGGGACAGCCCTCAAGCATGATTAATAGTTTGGGGTTTGGGGAGGCTTGTTCTGTTTCCTGGGGTTTTAGGATGAAAAATTCTCCATTAGCATTGTTTTTAGTTACAAGCATTTCCTCAATACCATCATCTTACTTAAAATAGGTGGTTACTTGAACTTCTGCCTTTCTTCCTCTTTCATCTTACATCAGTGTGCAGGGACAAACTGCAATAGAGGTTTTATTACTGCTTCTTCTTTTTTGGTAGCCATTTATCAAAGACAGCTCTTTGCATCTCCATGTTTGACAGATGTTCCTGTTCTTTTCCTAGAAAAGAGGCATTTCTTCTGAATTTTAGAGAAATTGTGTGGTGTAATACTGCTACAGTATGGTAAGCTGACTTTCCCACTTCATGTCTTCAGGAGCTGTCATGAATCTGAGCAGTCTTACTGAGCACCTGCTTCTTACTGTCTTACTAACAAGTGCACAGAAAATCCTTTGGAATTTCGATTGAGGAGGAGACAACTGGGACTGGGAACTGCAGTTAGCAAGAAGAGGGAGGCAGCAGAGAGTGGAAAGTTGTGGAGGAGCTAAAGATGATATGGAGCCTCCTTAAAGGTCATGGAATCCTTACATGCATACCTAGCAAAGCTGGAATGGCTCTGGCTTGAATAGTGCATGGTCATGCTGATCTTAAAGCCTCTCTAGATGAAAAGCACAAATGAGAAATCTTCTGACATAACCCTTTGGAAGACCAGCAATATCCAGAAAGTCATCATTTTTTCACTTAATTAATTTTCCACAAGCTATCAATCGTAAATACTTAAAGTGTATGCATACTTTGTTGGCAGGTTCATCTAATTACTGAAAATCAGTCACAAGCCATTCAGACTTTTTAGGCACGTGAAGAACTAATATAGTATAATTAAACCACCTACTTAGGATGATAATTTCCAGCATTTTGCCCCCAGGCTAAGTAAACATGTATATTGAAAGGAGTAGTTCTTTTTCTTTTTGGTCCAAAACAATTGTGCTTTAAGATTCAGAAGTGGGTGTTTAGAAGTGTTCTTGTTGATATTTTTTTTTTTTTTTTTTACTCCTGAGATAACTGCGTTTCCACTGCTAAATGCTGCTCCAGCTCATCTTGGCAATTTAGGAATTCCTCACCCTGGCTTTCCTAAGTGAGAGGTCAGACCTGTCTGTCTTCTGTAAGATGGACTTGAAATGGGGAAGGATTTTAGACCTTTAATTGTCTCCTGTGTCACCACGTCCTTTTGAGGTGATACAAAGGGGGCTGTTTGCTGGTTTGTTCTTTTATACTGAGACAACCTGGAAACTCAGGTAGGTTCTCCCTGAGGTTTTGTTTGCTGGGAAGGAAAAATGTCACCTGCACTAACTGGAATGGGAGCCCAGTATTTGACAACACCTGATGAGGGCAGAATCTGTAGGAGGGATGCGTTTGTTCTCTCTGAGCAGTTCACTAGGGACAGACATGAGTCTCCATGTCACATTTTCCGGTCTGATTGTGCGTAACTCTGTTTTACAGAATGGAAACTTTGTCAGGTTCTTTTCATCCCATTGCTGTTCTTTAGGGGATTTTTGAATGGGAAATTGATGGGTGGTAAAAAGGATGAGATTTTTACTTGTAATAACTTGTCAAATTCTGTGTGTTTTGTGTCTTCTTTTTAGTTGTGTTTTTTTTTTTTTAAATGACCACTCTTATAACAGTCTTATTTGCAGAAAGAATATCTATTGTTGTTTTTTTTTTAGCAGTTTGTTGTTTCCTGATTATTCCCCCCGCCCCCTTAGTGGAAGTCTGCAGATGTTAAGAATAATGGAGTGTGCAGTTACAAAGACAAATGGCATTGTGCTCTAACTGTATTGTTTTCTCGTTTTCTTTAGGCCACCGAGGAGGTCTCAAAAAACCTTGTTGCCATGAAAGAAATCTTGTATGGCACAAATGAAAAAGAACCCCAAACAGAAGCTGTGGCACAGCTTGCTCAGGAGCTGTACAACAGTGGTCTTCTTAGTACCCTAGTAGCTGACTTGCAGCTAATTGATTTTGAGGTAAGAAAGGAGGTTTGACATTTCTTACATTCTGTATGTTAGAATTCCTACCACTTAAATTGGTTGAGATATGTTTCTGTCTTCAGCTTTTATTTTCCGGTTATGACAAATCCATTAGAAAGAGAACTCATTGTTCCAAACTGCATAGAAAATTAAGCAACTATAGAATATGAAATCCATAAATTTAGCCATATAAACATGAATTTGGAGTAGATAAAGCTCTAATCCAGTGATACAGGTCTATTAAAATTATGGAATAATTCTTAATTGTTGTGTAACAGAAAGGTTAATCCCTTAACAGTAATACCATAGTGAACACAAACCATAATACTACAAGACATATCTATATTATCATCTTGTTAAATCAAATTACTTGGAAAAGTAAGAGAATTTATATGTTAAGGCTGTTAGTTTTATTAACAGGCCAGTATTTCTCTTCTCTTTTTAGAATTGAATGATGCAACCTTTTTTCTATTTTCCTCATTTTTTTGTGTTTATTAAAAAAAACCCAACAAACCCAAGTTTTTATTGATTAATTCAAAATAGCAATACTTATATTAAAACATATCTCTATACAGACTTTTTCACTACACCACATGGAACAATTTAGCTTCCCAGTGCTATAGTGAAGAATCACCCTGTTTAGTTATATGTACAGTTGGATTTTTCTGTTTTCCCTGAGGTCTCACAAGAAGTGTGTGGTTGTCTAGGAAAGGAGCCAAACCCCATGTATCTCACTCCACAGCCTCGACCATAAAGACCATCCCACTTCAGGTTGCTTAAAAATAGGATTCTTCATAAACAAGTTGCTCACAATGCAAACACAACAGTTTGAAGTCCTATTGTAGTTTGACATTCCAAAAACAATGGCTTTCTTCCCAATTCTTTCTTCTCTCCCCTCCACCCCACCCATAACTCCCTCTGATTTGTGTTTAATTTTAATACAGTGGTATTTTTTCCCTGTCCACACAACTGTTTATACCAAACATAAAACATTCAAGTTGTTAAATAAGCAAGGAGACCTGGGAAAGCTGAGAGGAAATGCTGAAATGTGATGGCCTTTAATTGCTGAGGAAAGGAAATCATGAAACATCATCTGGATTCTGCTGACCTCTATAGATTTGTATCAGCTTGGTGTTTACCCAGCCCAGTTATGAGCAAAGGAAACCTTCATTATCTCCTGGTAATGAGGAATGAAAACAATATGTGCAGGCTTGTTCTCATTAAGGAGAACTGTGCTTTGTATTCTAAGGGGACTTAAAAAGATGGTGAGTTGTTTCCTGCTTGTGGACGTTGTGTTGCTTTGTTACACGAGGATATGACGGTTCCCCCTTGAGAGAGAAAAGTCACTCATGCTGCTTTCTAGGCTGGACTTAGCCTGCTTTGTGAGGATGGGATCTGGCAGACTGTCCAGCTGTTGTTGTTACCTGGAATTAATGTCAACACACCTGTGCTCCAGATGTGCTCCAGCTGTCACAAAGTCAGTCAGGTGTTGGCTTTGATATCCCACATCTCTGTGGTTATGAGTTTGCTGCATTTGAAATGGTTTCTCCATTACTGATGGAAATACACGTTTGATTTTCTGTTGGTTTTTAAACTTCAAGAGTAGGTCTTGAATTTTTTCCTTCTTTCCACTGCAACCTGAGGTCATTCAGTGATAAACTAAACTTTTTTTTTTTTCCCAACAACTTCACTAATTTCTGAAGAAGGTTTCCTTGTAGAACAGGAAGAGACAGCTAATTAATAGACAGGGACTGTTCACTCTTGTCTCTTAAACTGTCTCAAATGTATTTTAATCTGAATTGGTATGGTAAAAATGCCCAGAAAAGTAACATGTAAAAACTGGAAAAGTAACAGATTTCATGTTTTAATGAACAATCTGTGACTGTCCAGCCTGTGCTGTATGTATGTAAAGGCCTGTTTAAAATTATGCCCTTCTCTGGAAGTCTGTTTTCCAGGTAAAGCAGTCAACCCAACCATCTACTAACCAGTCTTACAAACTTACCAGTTATCTCCTGGCTGATCTGCACTAGTGTGTCTGTAGAAGAGATGGTATCTCTTGTGGAATTAGGGGGGTTTTTTTGTTTGTTTTTGTTTTTTTAAATGAAGAAAGAAAAAGCCAAACCCAAAAATACCTTCTGCTAAGGGAGGCTGAATCCTTGTGCCGGTAGGACAATAGAGGCACAGTGTCCCTCTCACCTCTCGCAGCCCTGACGGTTGGCACAGGGTTTGGTGCCCTCGTTAGGCCATGAGGTCACTTAGCAATGCATCCCTCTGGGATTGCTGTGTACCACCAGCAGCTCAATTATATGCATAGTAAGGAAATGCTGTTCTTGCTGGGGAATCCAAAGCAAACTGTGAGATCCAGCGCAGAACTGGCGGCGTTAGTGAATGGTGGTTGATGACTGAATTATGTGGAGTTTGAGTGAAGCGATTTCTAGGAACGCAGCTCTGCTCATTTCAGAACAAAGAGTTCTGGTGTTGCTTTGGGCTGGCTTTCAATGGAATTGTAATTGAGAAAACAGCGTTTACAAACAATCCCTTATATCCTGAAAACAACACTAACAAAACTGTGGCAATTCACAAAACATGCCCTTTGTAAAACTACAGTGCTCCTACATTTTTATAAACATAAACATTTCATTTTTTTCTCATGCAGCCTGCTTGACATTGATTAGAAGACAGAAATAATTTTAAATAATTGCTGTTGTTTTTAAAATTCCTGCTAGTTAAATATGCCCTGCATTTACTCAAAAGCTTCCTGGTGTTACTCAGGAGATTTCTAGTACAGTTAGAGCCTGTCAAGAAACATTATATACATATGGGGTTTGTTTATAACATATAGAGAACCTTTAGGTGGAGTTGCTTAACAGGCCTTTATTTGCAAGTCCAAGCTTAGTACAAGTTTGCCTAGTCTTTTTCTGGATTAGATCTGATAACACATAATCTTGAAGGTGTCTTTGTTTCCATCCAAAATGGACAGTTAATTGCAGAAATCTGGCTTTTAAATGATGCATGTGAGTGACAGTGAAAAGTACTTATATTTATAATCAGCTTTTTGTTAGATGTCTGTGCCAGTTTGTCATCTTTACCTGTTGTCTGACAGAAGAAATAAATAGGAGATGTGTGTGTATATATATTCAACAAAGAACATTCTCAGCTCCTTTTATGGTCTTGGTGCTATCCTTGTACATTTTTTTTTTTAGTATAATCTCTACTGAATTCCAGCATCCTGGTCTTTTTTATACTTCTTTTATGCATTGAAAAATGTGAGACTTGCATTTTAGGTCAGTGGATGATTCCTGTGTGTGTGGTTTTTTTATTTATTTATTTACTTACTTATTTTCATAAGTTATAGTTCTGAGCTGGATGTTAACACTGAAGTTGGAAATGCTCTGCATACTCTTAATGGTGGCATTATGTGCTCCTAGATAAGGGAAGAGGATAATGGAATATTGAAGAAACACACTTTCAGGCAAGAGCACAGTTAAAAACTGCTATGTTATTAGCAAAACCAAGTATAGAATAAGCCCAGAAGATTGATGCTACATAGAAGTATCTGATGAAACATCAACTGGCTTTACTTCTTGGTGTAAATTACCCATGGTGTGGCTGCAATGTGATGTAATGTTTTGAGTGCTTTGGCATATTTGAGATGGGCATAAAGAAACATAATATTAAATCTGTTTAAGATCAGAGTGTGGAGGCTGACTGAACTACAGAACTCAGTACAACTGCATGAGGTGATGACAATGTTCAATGTTAACGTTCCTGGCGGACTTCAGTATTGTGTGTTTAACTGCCAATGTTTTTGACAGGGCAAGAAAGATGTTGCTCAAATTTTCAACAACATTCTCAGAAGACAAATTGGTACAAGGACTCCCACAGTTGAATACATCTGCACTCAACAGAATATATTATTCATGCTATTAAAAGGGTATGTGCACTGTGGAGCATAAATATGCTTTCACATGAAGTAAGGAGTTTTTAAATTCATAGAGAAGTAGAGAGTTCTGACATGATTGTTCTTCTTTTGCAATATGCTTGGGTTTTTTTAATTTTATTTTTTTCTTGGTGTTGAGGTCTGTAATTCCCCTAAGTAAAGGAAAATTTGAGTAATAAATCACCAGCAATCTACTTTTGCGTGAAATATAACTGAAAATTGAGAACTGTTAGTAATCTAAAATATTCTTACTGGGGTAATCAGACATTTTCCTTCTGTATAGTATTTGAGCCTGTTTAAACTATTCCCTTGTGAATTTATCAAGAGTGGAAGACTGGGGTTTTTTTTCCTTTTAACCACTGTAATTTCTAGTTTGCTGGCTTATCCCCTGGCCTTAGTTTGGTCTTAGACTTTTTATTCAGTGATTTATATTCCTGTAGAGACACAAACACATCAACTCAGACTTGACCAAACAAATAATTTGGAGCATATTGTGCATGCCAGATGGCTGCTTCATTTTCTGTTCTTGTATTATTGGGTGTGCTGGATATTCTTACATTATCTTATGTTCTGGGTGTTGGAGGGTCGTGCCATACTGAATATGGGCATGTAGAGCTGTGGTTCTCAAAACATGAACGCAGGTGTTGTTAATATATTTGTATTAAAATAGGATTTTTTAAAAATTTGGGAATGTGCTCTCTTAATTTCAGAAGGAATTGCTCACATTTCTAATAGCATTAAGATAGTTCTGAAAATTGCAATTCCAGTGCGTTATTTTGGGATAGAAAAGTTCATCAAAGGTTACTACACGATTTTAAAAGTGCAGCTATTTGAAGTAGTTTTATAATTACCAAACCATATGACCATAAGATCTACACTTGTCTGCCAGAGGGCCTGCTTTGGGTTTTTTTCCCCCTGCATTGCAGCCCTAATTTTGAGGTAAGGCGTGATTTAAATGTTAGAGGGGCAAAAATATTAATTGTGGCATAAGACAAAAGAAATTAGTGATTCAGTACTTCTTCAAAATAATTTACAAAAGAAGGCAACAACATTTGAGGTGCAGAGAGAGAAAACTGCTTTCTCAGCATGTTCTCATTGCTGTGTGAGTCAGTGAGGGATGTAACAAATTCCTGCTCACTTTTAGTCTGTGTTGTCACCCTTCAGAGAGCTTTATTCCCACAGGGATTGTTGGAACTCATTTTCATAAGTCAGAATGTTTGAAATTAGCATTTAGCTTTAGCAGCTTAGATGTTACATCTGGTTACATCCAACTGAGACAGATTTATGTAAATTTATACTGTTGGATAAGTTGCAAAAAGTTCAGTAGGTTTCAAATCTCCATGAATGGGAAAGTATTGCACCATTTTACATGAAAATTATTTTATAAGGCAATGTTTTTGTATGATAATATAGATAATACTCAGTATGCACAATGATACTTTGCTCCTGAATTATTCTGGTGAATTTTAATTACCTTCCAATGGTGTAGGATGAAGGATTCTTTAGGTGGGAGGCAGGAAGGTGTATAAGAGTCTGTGACTGCTCCAGAGGCTTGAACCCCACAATGTGTAGAGCAGCCAGTGATGCTGGAAAGTGGTTTAATGAACGAGGAGGTGTGAATTTGTGTCCAGTATGATTGATCCTTCCTGGTTATATGGATCGTTTTGTGTAAATTGCTGTCATGTTTGGGCAAGTAGCTTTCAAGACAGAAATAATTTACTGCTCTTCCAGATGTCTACAATCCTACCAATATGGAACAAGAAAATTGATTTTGAGAACAGAGAAAACATATTTGTTTAGTCTTGTTTCTCAGTTTGTGAAATTCATTTGAATTGGCTGTAATTTGCCATGTAATGGGCAATTATTTCAGTAATATTTTGTAGCAATATTTAAAAATTGAGTCCAGTGCAGAAAAATAAGTACCTCTAACTTTTGAGGTTTTGTTTACTTGATAGTATTAAAAACTGTAATTTGCAGTGTGGTGTTGCACTACTAACTTGTGAAAGCATTTATAAAAAGTCTTTGGGTTGTTTTGGGTTTTTTTATAGGTACGAATCTCCAGAAATTGCTCTAAATTGTGGAATAATGCTTAGGGAATGCATCCGGCATGAACCACTTGCTAAAATAATCTTGTGGTCAGAACAATTCTACGATTTCTTCAGATACGTGGAGATGTCAACGTTTGACATCGCTTCCGATGCATTTGCCACGTTCAAGGTAATTCACTGACAGCCTTGGAATTATTATTTCTGTAGTTCTCTTTGTGAACCCAGGTGCTCTGTGTGATTTTCCTGGGCAAAACAGGCCTTGGGAGAGGGGCAAAAATAAGGTGTGATGCAAATGGTGGGCTGGACATTGCTCTTCCTTATTTCTCAGAATGCAAGACATGCCTTTAAATATATATATACCATGTTCCCCCAAATTTTGTTCTAGAGAGTAAGATGTAAACTATCCTGCATTACCTGAATATGTGTGCCCTTCCATGCCAGGGGCTTTAAATCTGTGTCTGCAACTCCTCAACTGAGCAAACTCCTTTTCATTCTGTTATAACCCTGAGTATATTTGATACTGTTGCTTTGTCTGGGAAAATTTTCTGTTGCCCTAAAACATTGAGTTATGGGAGTATTAGCATAATATTCATCAACATTAAATAGTAGGTCTTAACCTTGGTTGTGTGTAGTTATGTGCAGAGCACAGCCTTGATCCATAATAGCACTCTTCAGTGATAATTCCACAGTCCATTTATCTGTGAGTTAAAGTAACACATCACAGATCTTTCCTAAGTGATGCCAAGATCCTTAGCAGTGTCCAGGTAATTGCATTCAAGTCTTAAATCTCTTAATTTAATGAAACAGCAAAATTTTCTATTGAATGCCATATATGTACTCACTGTTTAATGTGAATGTCTATGTACTGTATAAATATTTCAGTTAAAATATTGGGTTTGTGCTTTTTTGCAGGATTTGCTTACAAGACACAAGTTGTTAAGTGCAGAATTTTTGGAACAGCATTACGATAGGGTGAGCAGATCTGTTTCAGTATTTAGAATTCTCTAGCGCTGCACATCTTCTTTGAAGAAATTGGTGGTTTCACTCCTTGTTTAGTAAACTTCCACATAATATTAAAACAATTGAACTTGCAGTAATTTCTGCAAAACAGTAAAATTTAGATCACGACCCTGTTGTTGAATGTAGAAAGGGATAAAAGGAGGAGAAGGCAACGGGAATCTTGTTCTTTGGGCGCTCGACCTGATTTCTTCGGTAGAGGGAGCCCTTGCCTTTCCCCTGACACCAAGGAATCCAGGATATCCCTCTCCCTGCTGCTGGGAGTGCGGGAATTACGGGTGTCCAGTGCCAGGAGCTGTCACAGAACGGCCTTAAAGATCGTCTGGTTCCACTCCCCACCCCTGCCATTGGCAAGGCATGTGACACTAGACCAGGTTGCTCCAACCTGGCCTTGAACACTTCCAGGGATGGGGCAGCCACAGCTTCTCTGGGCAACCTATTTCTGTTACAGTTTAAGAAATAATAAGGTAACTACTTCCACTACATTGAAATCTAAACGTTAAAGGCTCCTAAAAGAGCAAATATATATTTTTTTAAAGCATATACAGTGTTTTAATAATAGTGACTTACAGGAACCTATTGAGATTTCAGATTTTGTTTATGTTTTTGTTAGGGATTGGCATCTCCTCTACTTTGTTACAATAATTTAGAAGAAGAGTGACTATGACACTTGGAAAAGTCCTAACCCTTCTCTTTATTCTGTGTTTAGTTCTTCAGTGAATATGAGAAGTTACTTCATTCAGAAAACTATGTGACAAAGAGACAGTCACTTAAGGTAAGGCAATTTTATTTTCTTATTAAATGGAAAGTAAGAGAAAGCTTTTAATTTCCAGATGAGTTGACTTTATTTGAAATGGCTTATGTAACTGCCTTCAATAGTGTTTGTTTTAATTCTTCTTACATGTGAATTCTTGGGATCAACTAGTTTTTTTTTTAGTCCAGTCCTTTTGTTATTTAGTGTCCAGCACAGACCTAAGTTATTTCTCTCCCTATGAAGAAATGGCTCTTCAAGTATCTTTATTTTTGTTGGGTTTTTTCACTTTGACAAATCTGGACACATTTAAATAATTTTTAAACAAAGATTGACAAGATGTACCTAGAGCAATACTAATCTTACATTCAAGTGGGTAAGCAATAGGGAATGTAAATGCAATACAGAACTTGTAGCAAAGGTGATCCTTGTGGGGAATATCCTTTTAATCCCCTTTGGACAAAGAACGTAGCCAAAGGAATGTAAATATTTCTCATTTGAAGTACTAACCTGTTTAGGTTTTGAGTTATGTTTTTTTAAGGCATTGCTACTGTTGCTGAATAACTTCTGTGTAAGTGAAAGTAATGAAGTCATGGGAAAAAAAGAATGAAAGACTTTTCTTTCATTTTCATTTCCTAACAAGGGGGGAGCAAAGGTGATTTTTCACTTTCCGAGAAGAAGGAGAAACTGCATAATTTAAATAAGAGGAAAATGCACCCTACACTTTTGAAATTTGGGACCCTGGAGTTCTGTTGTTACTGTATTTACAGCCCAGTGTCAGCTGCTTAGGGTGTTTGAAAGCACTTATGAAAAAGTTGATTCTTATGTCCAGTGTTAGTAATTTTTCCATCTGGGCTTGTTTTCTCCCTTTAGCTTCTTGGTGAATTGTTATTGGACAGACACAACTTCACAATTATGACAAAATACATCAGTAAACCTGAAAATCTCAAACTAATGATGAACCTTCTACGAGACAAGAGTCGTAACATTCAGTTTGAGGCCTTCCATGTGTTTAAGGTATGTTTAAAAACCCTACCCTGAAACAAAAAACCACGAGAATCCAACCAGAAGTTGTTTCATTAAGTAAACTATTTAGCTGAGCCTCACTGGAGCTTATCTTAATGACTGCTAAGTGATTAAAGAGAGTGCTGATATTTGCCTTATTATGATCCATCTTTACCAAGATATCTTGGTGTCTTTTGAAAACTATTTAGAAACTACTCGGGGAGTTCCATATGATTGTCACTCTGATCTCTCTTAGAAAATTTTGGAATAAAGAAGGATGAAGTGCAGTTAAGAGGAGGAGGAGTACATGATTTAATACAGGCTCATGAAGCACTCTGGAGTTCAGAAGTGTTTTTATCATACTGCATGATCTTTGAAGAACAGCAGTATTTTAGTCAGGTCACCTACATTTCAAAGCCTGTAATGTAATTTGCACATTATAACAGATGCCTTCTGACTTTGCAGCAGACAAGCAGCTAAGAGTTATAACTTGAGATCTAGAACTTTGTAGTGAACTGTGAGATACCATCTGATGCTGTAAATGATATGAAACCATGCATTTGCTATAGAATTTAACCATGGTTCAGTGGTTTCTGCAGAGGGTATTGTGGTTGGTCACCTCCCACAGACTGAATTGACTTGGTGCTGGTGTTCAGCTTATGTCCTGATGAAAACAGGAGTGATTTTATTTTAAAACTTGCATATACTCCATTATTTTTTTCTGGATATCCAGTAGGATACTGGAGTAATTAAAATGTAATTTTAAGTTGTGGTCATCAATATTTTGTTGGATAGCTTTGTTTTTTAACTTTTTTAACTGTTTCTCACTATTGTACTCAATGCCTTTTATTTTCTTGCAGGTGTTTGTAGCCAATCCTAACAAGACACAGCCTATATTAGACATCCTTCTAAAGAACCAGACCAAACTTATTGAGTTCCTCAGCAAGTTTCAGAATGACAGGACCGAGGATGAACAATTTAATGATGAGAAGACCTATTTAGTTAAACAGATCAGGGATTTGAAGAGACCAGCACAGCAAGAAGCTTAATCTCCAATAAACCTTTAAAATATTAAACCCAAATTCAGCATTTGCTGTTAGATATTCAGCATCAGGCACTCTTATCGATTCATGAGGAACATTACTGCTAATCTGCTGTTCAGTGAACGGTTTTTGTTTTTCTCTTTTCATTTTTAGTCCAAGTTGAGAAACGTAGCTGCTGCTTTCTTGCACAATGTGGACTTTCTTGATATTTGTGTCATTTCAGAATTCAAAGACACTGCTTGTTTTAGGAGTCCTGAAAAGAAAGATTCTAGGTTCGTGAAAGCAAACATATAGATACTAGTTTGGCTTAGGAGAGAAGGTATTAATGTAGTTAAGTAACAGGTTGCATGCTTGCAAATCTGAACAAATCTGTATGTTTGCACTTACCTTGTTTGAGATAATGAGCACAATGTGACCTGTGCATACCTGGCACCATAGTATAAGATTATATGCCTTGATTAAAAAAAAAAATGTGCAGTGCTTTATTTGTAATCAAAGGGGAAATGTATCTAAGATGTGAGCTTATTGGGATAAACAGTTGTCTTGCAAATAAACTGATATTGAAACTTAGCAACTTTTAAAAGAGTGAAATCTCGAGGTTCATAAGGAAAATGTATATATGCCTTTCACTGCTTTATAGAATTTTTTTTTGACATGATTTGATTTTTTTTGAGACTTGACTTGTAAACTTGGAAATATGTTCTAAGGGTTTTTGTTAATTTTACTTTAAAGGTATTTCAGACAGTAGACCTAGCAGTGACATTTTGCATTTCATTTCAACAATGCTTGCTGGTTTCTTTTGTATATAACTCCTAGGCTGCTCATTTCTTTAAAATATGATTTAATTTGTACAGCAGAGGAATGTTATTGTATTAGTCTGTAACTATTACCTAATATTGAGTTTTGCAAAATGAATGCTCATGTGTAATTGAATACTTCAGATCACATGGAAATGCTGATTTAACAATCTTAAGTACTGCAGCATTTGAAAGAAAAAAAAACTCAAACCCAAACAAATCCTTTGTATTCACTCATCTAATGGGGTGCCATCAATTAGGGTAGGCTGAAATAGAGAACTGGAACCCTTTATACTACATTCTTACTGGATAATATTGGCCTTATTTAATTAAACTAGCATTGTACTCACCCGCTCTGCAAATGGCAAAGATTATGCTAAATGAATATTGATCCCTCTTACTTCTGGGGAGCCTGCAGTGCGTCATTTCTTTCTTACAGTATATAACTCAGTACAATAGTTGTGTAAGTGAATGATTTAATCCCCTCCAACTTCAAGAAACAATTTCATAGGTGTCCTAGGATAACAAAATGACTTAATTTTCTTGATTTTGTTCTTTAATGTTGCAAACTATCAGTATAAAAACCAGAAAACCCAACTGATTTTGCACCATGTTTTTGTTACTGTGACCATACAAAAGGAATCTACTAAATATAGCTAAATGATGTTATTAAAATTGTATCTATCCATCATATAGTAACTCTAAGATCACAACCAAGCAAACTTACGGATTGGGGTCTGAAAGTTCAAATTCTGCATGACTGAGTGATTGTGAATGCTCTAGAAAATGTTTGTTGCTTCCTGTCCTCTTCCCATTGAAAATCCTTTGCAATCAGTGATGTTTGAGCTGATCTGAAAGCCTTCACAAGGGAAGTCCGAGAGCTCCAGAAAACTGAGTGTTTTCACTCAGTTGTTTAAAATTGCTCTTAACATTATAATTGGTCTTTTGAAAGGTTCTTAACATTTCCTTTGCAAACCAAATCATTTTGCCTACAGGAAAGAAAACAGCTTACTGTTCCTGGAAATCACAGGCATTGAGGTGGTATTGTAGTTCAGTACTAACAGTCTACTATATTTTGGTTTATCATAGCTGAGTGGAGGAAAACATTATTTGCCAAGTTACTCACCATAAACATGTAAGGCTTCCTCTTTAGAAAGACGTAGATGTGCTAAAGATTTATATATGTCAAGAAGTGAAAACATTTGGACTGGGGTAGAGGTTACTCTATATTACGCCTTGGAATCAACGGCTATGGTGACTTTTTTAATATGTGGAAACATTTGAATGTTGGCTTTTGAAAAGAAGTTGTATTTAAATTAAAGCTCCTTTGACGTGCTCTTCGTATTAAAAAAACTTGTTCTGGAAGTGGTTTCTTATCTGCTTGAAGGCTTAAGGGTATTACTAAAAGATATTTAAATGCGAGCGGTTTTTCGTTTGGCTTTCTTTTTTTTTTTTTTTTTTTTTTAAAGTAAGAGATGTATACAATTGTAATTCTATTTCCACGGTAGCATTTCATTTCTCCTGAGGAAAATGCGTTTCGTATCCAAAAAAAATCTGGCTGGCCCCATAATTTAAATTAAAATAAAATTTTGAAGAAAAATGTGTGTTCTTTACTGTGTTACCGAAGAGGATGAGTTTCTTGTGGGGGTGTGTCAGTTCTCCTTTATTACCTTAGAGTGGCTCAGCTTTTTCCCTTTTTAAATGTGAAATCACTTTAAATCATGAAAAACTCTGGCTTGACAAACATTTTTAAGGAAATAGGAAAAGGTGCTGTATTAGGGATGTAATCAATTGTTGGTAGCCTCTCTTGCCTGTTTGTAATATTATTTCCTAATTCTATTTCTTTTTGGTATGACCAAGGGAAAAGAGAGGAGGTGCTATTTTCTCCATCATGCCCAGAGACAGCACCTGATAGGGTTAGTGGAAGCAATTCCTTGATAAGTTTTGGCCCTTCACTTTTCTCTAATTTTCAGGAGCTGAAAGTGTTTGCAGTTGGTAACTCTTTCCTTAGGACATCCCATGGTCTCTGTGCCTTTGAAGCTGTCTCTACACAGGTAACACCCCAAGTTATGAAGTGTGGCAAACATCAGGAGAGGCTGTTATGTTTTAAACAGTGTTCAGGAGCTTTTGATGCACTTTCTTTAGATGGCTTTTTTTAGCAAAATTACTGAAAAAAACCCAGTTTCCCTTCAGGAACATAATTACCTCAAAATATTTGATCTTTGATACCCCCTACAAGAGGCTGCACCTGTGTGAACCTCTGTAGAAAATCTAAGGATTTCTCTTCCTCACTGGCAGTAAAATCACAAGTGAGACAGGGAAGGAAGAATTTACACTTGCAGTCAGACAAAGTGCAAATTTTAACTAAGAGTGGTCAGGTTGGGTACTTGTCTGGGTGTTTGAAATGGCCCTGGTGGGAGGAGGCATGGGGAATGCAGGGAGATGTTGCCCTGACTTCTTAAAATTTGTTTTCCTCACAGAGGTGACCAGCCAGACCTGCCTTACAAGCTGCCATCTCTAAGAATGCCAGTAGGAGTTGTCCTTGGAGCCTGTGGGAGCAGGTTGTGGACAAAGCTGCTTTCAGTAAGTTTTCTTCTGTTGGTGGCATCTCAAGTCATTCCTAGCAGGCAACTTCATCAGTTTTCCTTTTTGCTGCTACCCCATTTTCCCCCCATCATTCTGGACCTTTGCTGGCTGCTGTGTTGAATTATTTCCCTGTCTGTGTTGCTTTCTCTCCCATGGTTGTTCACTCGAGCTGGTGCCATCTTGTTGGGTGCAGTGCCTTTATTTTCTGTCATCTTTGTGCTTATTTCTGCAAAGGTTTTGGCCTTTGCAAGGCTGTTTTAAGTGCTGTTTCTTGTCACCATAATGTAATTCAAGTTGATGGTTAGTATCATAATGAGGAAAAAGTTATCCTGTTCTTTTGCGTGTTACCTCTTCAAATCAGTGTTCAGCTTAATCTGAGCACACTGAACTTGTGAAGAGTTGTTTCTGGCATATGGCATCTGTATTTACAAGTGTATTTGGGCAGATCCAGTTTAAATCCCCTGTGACTGGAGACAGATCAAAACATCCAAAAAAAAAGTCAAAATATGGGAAAAAGTTGAGAGAGAGCAGAGGGCAACATCAATATATTGCATTCTTTGAAGGAAATTGGCTGTTTCGTGGGAGAAGAACAATGGAGAGAGAGCGTTTGCAAGAATATGGAGTGACAGGACAATGGGGAATGGCTTTAAACTGACAGAGGGCAGGTTTAGATTAGATATTAGGAAGAAATTCTTCCCTATGAGGGTGGTGAGGCCCTGGAACAGCTTGCCCAGAGAAACTATAGATGCCCCATCCCTGGAAGTTTCCAAGGCCAAGTTGGATGGACCTTTGAGCAACCTGGGATAGTGGAAGGGGGTAGGAATGGGATGATCTTTAAGGTCCCTTCCAACCCAAACCATTCAATGATTCTGTGTTCTGCTTCCTATTTTAAAATATTTGTTGACTCATCTCTATTTAAAAAAACACCACCACAACCCCCCAAGTTATACAGCCAACATATAATCTTTGCTAAGGGTATTGTATTCACAACAGAAAATAAAAGGCAAGCTCTTTAGAGGGCTCACGTTGGAGATTCTGATTCACACAACACAGGTAAGGATATTTTATTTCCTTGCTCAGAAATGCCCTGGCCAGAACTGACTTTCTGCTGCTTTCCATAAAGAGACCTTTCAGGCTAAAGGTTTTCTATTGCAGGAGGGTTTTCCAGCTCTCTTGTAGTGGGGCTGTGTGTAACTCCAGTGTGCAGGATTACATCCACCAAGGAGAGTGTCACATGGCTGGAAGTGACAGAGGTCTTAGGTGTTCCCAATGATGGTAACACTGAAGAATTTATCAAGAGGGAGTGTTTGGAGTGAAGGAAAATAAACAGCATGCTGTAATACATATGTAATATATATATAGTTTAGATATGTTTTAAGAGAGGTGGATCTGTTTGGAAAAAAACAAGATAAATCACTACAACTGGAGTTGTCTGTTCTTCTTGCCTAAAATTAAATCAACCAGTAGATGTTTTTCCATTTCTTCCCTTGCAAACTCCTAGTACTGAGCTGTCATCGAGGATCCCATTAAGAGTTCTTGATTCTTCCTCTTGTGGCAGCTTTTAGGAATGCCTCACATCCCACCAAGGAGAAACCAGGGTGATAAAAATGTGAGTGTTGCTTAACAAGGTTCTGTTAGTAAAACATGTTG